GATGTTCTGTGGTCCCGGCACCGGCCTGGAGCGGGCTGTTCCCCAGCCGCTGCTGCAGCTGGCTCTGGACAAGGGCTATCGTCTGGCGGCCACGAATGGGGGTAATCCCCCTTGGTGCTCCCAGCGATTCCCTGTGGTCTATTCCTATATTCAAGACACTTACTGGAATGTGGGCTTTCTAAGGTATTTTGAGCTCAGACAGATACCAAATTTCTTGCTTGCTTTGCCTGTCACACTGCTGGGCGTGTGGGCTGCCTGGACCTACATCACGGCGAACCCCCGGCACTGCCTAACTCTTGGTCTAGAGAGAAGAAAGAGTGAAGAGGAGGGTAAACCGAGAGCTGGATTTTGCTGCCACGCCGTCTTCGTGTATGTGGTCCATGCCACGGTCCTGCTGGCGTTCGGATTCTTCTGCATGCACGTGCAGGTAGGACATCCGTAGCAACACAAAGGAGTGATTTCTTAAGGGCAATGCGGCGTGGTGGCTGAGGCAGTGACAGTCACCACCCGAAGCTGTCCCAGCTGCAGGGCAGCACAGGGCAACGCAAACCGAAAGCTTTGCCTTTCCTCTTTCGGAGCTACTTCCACAGAGAGTTTCCAAAGCCAGTTCGTTCCTCTACCCTGCCGGAGAGTTCCCAAAGGAAGCTTGCCAGGTGCTCAGTGTGATGGGGACACCAGGATGGGGATCAAAGGGTGTTAGGTGGCATTTGACGCGTGCTTAAGGCCAGGCTTGCCAAGCTCAGCGGGTCGGCTGTCGGAGGACAAGGATACTGGGTCATTATCGTGTTGGGCCAAGCTTAATGGGTGGCAACGAAAAGATCCAGAGCCTGTCACCGGTCCCTAGAAAGTGATTGCAGGTCTATTTAGGACACAGCTGGTGGCACTAAAAGTTGGGGGTTCCAGTGAGAAAACACTTGAAGAGCAAAATTCAAATCTCCCCTGAAGCTGCTGCCCCTGGCCAGCTCCTGAGCTGGATGGTGACGAGGATTTCGGTGAGATGGTGTCAATTAGTTTGTCCAAAACCCGGAGACCGCTTGTCTGCTTACACAAACATCTTAATGAATAAAGCAGGTTGAGCCGAGAGGTGTTTTATTTCAATGGGAGAAGTCCTAGCGCCGCGGACTGGGGCCGTGTTTTGGTCCCCTTTCTCAGCAGTCGGCCTGAGGCTCCGTCCGTGCCTCGGGATGGGGGTTGGTCACAGCCGCAGACCTGCAGTTCGTGTGATTTTTGCTTTGCCTGTTGTCTTCAGGTGCTGACCCGGTTCCTTGGCTCCTCCTCTCCCGTCCTGTACTGGTTCTCCGCTCACCTGCTTCAAGAACACGAACCTTTGCTCTGGAGCGAAGGGACTGATAATCGGACTGCGACACCTCCCTGCGAGAAATCTCTTCTGGGTAAAACTCCTGGTTCCTGCGGGGAAGGGACCCCCGAGAACCCCCTTGTGAGGCTGCTGACGAGCTGTAGGTTGATCGCCCCCCTCAGCAAATGCATTCTCGGATTTTTCCTGTCCTACTGGCTGCTGGGACTCGTTCTGCACTGCAACTTCTTGCCGTGGACGTAGCCAGCGGGTCTGTCGGTGCAAACGGGTCGCGGGGCAGAAGCGCTGGTCAGAACCGAAACTCATTTTTGCTATAAACCCCGATGTGTGTGTGAGGATGCTGTTGTCTGGGTTCCGACGGCGTTACTCCTCCGTTCTTCCTCACGTACGGAGCTGGTGCTGCCCAGACGGGTCCGGGACGGGCACGTTCCCTTTGCTGTCCCACTGCAGCATCCTGCCCTTCTCTGCTGTCATCACTGACGGCCAAAATTCCCGTTAACTGCCGGGGGTGGGGGATGCCTCCCGGTTCCTATGGGATGCACGGCCACCGAGCCAGTGTTTGCCACAAGGGTCCCTG